TCAAATTAAAACTAATTAAAGACCAAATTAGAAGCATGGACGTCATATATGAGGAGGTTTTACCTAGACTTGTTTCGGTCCCAAATCGAATCAAACCAAATTTAACAAACTGAATCAAACCAGATCAGACATAAACAAACACACCATACCAAACTTCAACCATTGTTAATAAACCAAACATCTAACAGACGAGGCCCATTCGAACCAAATCAGACAAAGCTAGATCATATCAAACCAGAAAATTTCATACTACATCCACATACTCAACGATGACCGTGTGGATTGTCCTTTTTTGAAAGGATTGTCCTTGTTATAACTAAACCAGTTTTATAGTTCCAAAAAGGTGAAATCTCCCACCCCATGAGCCCCCCACAGCCTGATCCGATGGGATTTTTTGGATGATGTAAGTTACGGTAACTCAGTCAGCTCAATGATGGTAGACCTTTTACCCGTGTGCACCAGAGGTCCAGCCCAGCACGCAGGAGCTGTAACCTCCACGTGGGTATAATAATAATGTTATAAAACTGGTTTAGTACCCGCCCGGGTAGCTCAGTTGGTTCGGTGGTGGGAAGTTTGAAAAAATGACCAAGGTTCGAAACCCGCAACGGCCGTATGAAGGTTACCGCTTTTGGTTGTTGGACTGGACCTCTGATGCGTACGGGTAAAAGGTCTACCATTATTGGGCCAACTGAGTCACCGTTACTTACATTCTCCCCAAAATCCTGTCGGGTCGAGGGTGTGTGGGGCTTCTCGGGTGGGAGGGATTCCACTTTTTTTTGAACAACAACATTGTTATTATTATATGCCCATCAACTCTTTGAACTACTCCGCCTCCGTATGAATTTTACCCGCCACCAACAACTACGTCACCTGCTCATATATACTACGTGAAATGGGGAAGGTTTTGTTCATCAATCTTGTACGGCAAAAGGCCAGCGACGTATATTCCGCATCATATACAAGGACGGATCTATGTTTTATACGGAGTGTGTACAAAAAGTTACATTTCGATAGGCTTATTCCATCTTTTTTTAGTTTCAACAGTCAACATTTCATTTTTACTAACGCATAACTTTGACCGTCATTATATTTAATTATGTATTAGTAAAAATAAAATAAAAATCAGATTATAAAACTTAGTAATGAGACGAATTCAACAATATTTTTCAAAACAAATAATTCACATACATTAATAAATAAAATGTAGTTAAAGTAAAGTACATGAACAGTGTATATATTTCAATGTTGCAATTAATGTGATATGGAGGATAGTAATTAGAAGTCCTTGTACGTAATCGAACTATGAAGAGATTATGTTTTCGTATAATAATTTCAATCATGTAACAACCTACCCACCAATTTGTTGGATCGAAACGGGGGCTCTGGGGGTCGGAGATTCCACCCTTTCGACCAAATCATGTAACCAACAAGCTATTTGCCTCAAGAAGTCAGTCAACTGCCTTTGGTTTAAATTCAATCTAATTAGGGGGAGGGACTGAGGTAGTTAGCAGTAAAAATGAACTACTCCGTACTAAAGGTGGTCAGAATATTTCGGTCTAACCGAACCATCCAAACATAACCAAACTGAAGATTTTGACTTTGGTTTATTTCGACTCTCTCCTTTAAACCATTTCCGCTACACTCATACTCTATTTGTCCCGTTCATATTGTCTCATTTTATTTTTTCGAAAAAAATCACTAAAATTGTCTCATACCAAATTTAGAAAAGTTAATGGAACTTTAAATCATTTTTATTTTATTCTAATTTTATCAAATTAATATCAACCAAATAAACTCATTTTTCTTAATAATTGTGACACCCCCTTCCGTCCCAATATTAGTGAGACCAAGATAGTATGAATTTATAGTCATATTTTTCCCAAAAATCTTGTATTAATACTACCTCTGGTTCTCAAACAACATACCACTTTCTTTTTCAGGAAGTCCCGAAATTAACTTCACACTTCTTCTTATTTCCTTATTTGTCAAATTATCTACACCAAAACACTGCAAAATAATGTCAAACAGTGCCAACCAATGTCTAAACAATGCACTCTACTAATTGATTTTCTTAAAGTAAATTTTATTTTCTTAATCTATGTGAAGTCAAACTGTGAAGTTCTTTGAGAACGGGAAGGAGTAGTATTTAAAAAAACTCTTTTAATTTTGCATGGACCCACACTTTTCTTTCATTTCACTCAGCAGGCTACGGCTAGCTCCATCCTCTCTCTTCGATAAGTCAACAAATTTCATCCCGAGGTGTGCCGAGTACCCAAAACTCTCCTTCCAGGCACTTTTGTTACCTTGGGTTGCAGCTATTTTTAGGTGAAAATCTCGAATATGACTTTTTCATTTCAAAGTTGTCAATAAAATAGGAAAGACAAAAAAGTTACAGTGACGGACCGATATTTTAATTTCTTTTAATTAGTTTGATTTCATCTCAACTTGATCAAGTCAACTCGTTTATAATTTGATAAATTACAATCGAAATCAAACGGTCCCTTTTCAAACCAAACCGAAACAAAACATAAATAAATTCAACTTTTAATTTTGATTTGATATATTTTCTATACTAAGGTTGGTTTTATTTAAATTGAAACTTTTTTATCTGAACTGTTCTAATGTAATCTGGTTTAATATATGTCTACTCTCAATGTAATTTACAACTATTGAGGTCTAGACTAGTTTATTTTAATCTAATGTGATCTGGTGTGAGACTGAAATAAGACAGTATCTAAATAAACTCAAACCCAAATGTTTATTCCACCCAAGTAGGGATGGCAACAGGGTAGATCGGGGACGGGTACACATAAAATCGAAACCGCCCCGTTGGATAAACGTTTGCCCCAAAATTGCCCCATTACTCGTTCGGGTAATTCTTATTTGAACCGTACCCGCCCCAACGTGGAATCGGTTTATCCACGGGTAACCGTTTCCCCAAATTTTCTAATCCCAAATCCAAATTTCTTTTTCAATTTGCATCTCATTTCGTATACACCACCATACTCACTCCGCGTTCAATTTTGCTAAATCTTAATGGTGTAAAAAACTACAAAATTAGGCATCGAGCAAACTCACTAAACTGTAATACACACTCAGTATTAATCACGAGATAGGCATCGAGCAAACTCACCAACCTGTAATATACACACTCCGTATTAAGTATTAACCACAAGAAAACTTACCTTTGGCAGGGGTGATTCCGAGAATAGAAGAAAGAGAGAACTGGGGTAGAATCCTTGATAATTTTAGAGATTAAAGGCCACCGGTGGTAGAGCCGAACTGCAGACCTAGCATCGCTCCATCTAGAAGAATCGAAGAGAGTTGTTCTCACCGTTCAAAAGCAGAGCCCTGAGCCGCAAATCCATATTCCGTAATAGACTCTGAGTTAGGGATGTTAGGGTTTTTAAAGTGGGTCTATGGTGCAATATTCTTTATATACTTATATGATATATACGATTTAGTGTACACAATTTAGTATATATACTTATTATTCTTATGTATAAAAAAGAGTTATACGGAGTAATTTATTAATAATGTTACGGATCAGGTAATGGTGCGGGTTGGGGCTGTTAACGAACCGAGCTTTTATCAAATTATTCAAGTTTGAGCTCGGTTTCGAACCTAACGAACCGAGCTTAACGAGCTTTCGAACTCGAACCCGAGCTGAGTTTTAATTTCGAAAAACTAATCGAGCCGAGCTCGAACATAGTAGTATTTGGCTCGATTCGAACTCGAGCCTACATAACACCCTGAAATTATAAATATAATTTATATATATGAAAGAATTTAAATATGTTTAGTATGATTTATGAGTTTAAATATGATTATTAACGAACCAAATACTTGTCGAATCATTCGAGCACGAGCCTGTTAACGAGCATCACCTAAAATTTTAAATTGGAGCATATTTATCGAACTTATCGAGTGCTAGGTTCGAACATCGAACACCTGTCGAGCCGAACACGAGCCTCATTTGTAAAGTTCGTCGAGCTTCGACCTCGAACCCGAACACCACTAATTCCTTATCGAGCCGAATTCGAGCTTTGGGTGTTCGGGCTCGGCTCGGCACGTTAACAGCCCTAGTGTGGGTACCCGCACCATTAGCGAATGAGGCGATTTCGGGGCGGATAACGGGACAGATTAGTATAGAACCATAACCGCACCATTATCCATTTTAAAAAACCGGGTATTCCCCGCCCCGTACCCGTTCCCCAATCAAACCGGTTTTCCCCATTTTGACCAAACCATTTCGGTGCAGGTATCCAACGGGTCGGCCTGAATTGTCATCTCTACACCCAAGTACTCACTCCGTCCCAATTTGATGGTCTCATTTCTTTTGAGCACACGTTTTAATAAAGTGGTTGAAAAGGTAAAAGTTGTGGTTGAGATTTGAGTATAATAAAGTGAAATGATATGGACCACATCTTTCTTTCCAAATAGGGAAACAAGACCATCATTTTGGGACATCCCAAAAAGGAAATACATGACCATCATTTTGGGACGGAGCGAAGTACATCCTATTATATCTTTCAACTTTCCTTTTTCATTCATTCCAATTAAACTTCCACTTTTCCCTTTTGGTAAAGAATTTGTGGTTCACAACATTTCTTACACATTTATCTCTTCTCTGCACAACTCTCCACCACACACTACCTACTTTTTTTAAATTGTGTGCACATCGGAAATGGAAGATAAAATGGGAAGGGAGGGAGTATTAACTACTCCCTCCGTTCCTATTAAAACTTCCAACTTTCCTTTTTCGTCCGTTCCAATTAAAACTTCCACTTTCCCTTTTTAGTAAAGAATTTGTGGTTCACAACATTTCTTACACATTTCTCTCTCCTCTGCACAACTCTCCACCACACAATACCCACTATCTTAAATTGTGTGCCAAATATATTTGGAAGATAAAATAGGAACGGAGGGAGTACTTGAATAAACTTACTCCGTATATAAGTAGAGGTCTACCGTTTTGAAACTTCACATCATTGCTAGAGCTAGGAAGTACAGCCAGAGGAGCTTTAGCTTTTTCTTCAAATCCCTGATTCCCTTCTATTTTCCTTATTTGGGAAGGTGCTTTACCTTCATGGAGAACAAAGCCACTGGTCGTCGTATTAGTGTTTTAATGCTGCCATGGCTGGCTCATGGCCATGTCGTCCCCTACCTAGAGCTTGCCAAAGAACTTCAAGAACGCGACTTTAATATCCATTTCTGCTCCACCCCAGTGATTCTCTCTTTCGTTGAATCCGCATACTCTTCACTCCTTTCCCAAATCCACCTCGTCCATATCTCCATCCCCACCGCCGGCTACCCGGAGCTTCCTCCCAGCCGCCACTCCACTAAAGATCTCCCCCGCGAGCACATTTTCACCCTCTCCAAGGCATTCAGACACTCCGCCCCAATCTTCTCCGCCATCATCGACCAAATAAAACCCGACTTGCTCATCTACGACGTCTTCAATTCGTGGGCTGCGGGGGTCGCGGCGTCACAGGGCATCCCCGCCGTCTGTTTCTGCATCACCGGCGCGGCCTCTGTTTCCTTCGCTGACCACCTGTTTGAACACCACTCGACGGCCGAATATCCTTTTCCGGGACTTTATTTGCGTCCGCACGAGCTCAAGAATCTGATGGAAAACATAGGAAATATCGATCAAGCAGAAAAGCTCGAACTTATAAAGCCCATGGTGGATTCTGACCGCCTCGTTTTGATGAATACCAGCCAAGAAATTGATGGAAAGTATATAGACTACCTCTCCGCCGTTCTGGGTAAAACCGTCGTGCCGACAGGCCCACTCATCCGCATACCGGGGAAAAACGGCGCGGTGGCGGAAGTTGAGAAACAGAGGGACGCGGAGATCCTGCGGTGGTTGGACGGAAAGCCAAAAAACTCAACTTTATACATTTCATTCGGGAGCGAGTACTACTTAAGCACGGAGGAGATTCAAGAATTGGCGAAAGGGTTGGAGCTTAGCGGCGCCAATTTCATATGGGTGCTGAGGTTTCCGGCGGGGAAAGAGATCGGGATTGAGGAGGCTCTGCCGGAGGGTTTCTTGAACAGAGTAAATGGCCGAGGGGTAATTGTGGAAAAGTGGGCCCCTCAGATAAAGATTCTTGGCCACCCAAGTGTGGGCGGATTCGTGATGCACTGTGGGTGGAACTCGTTTCTGGAGAGCGTTCATTTCGGAATCCCGTTGATAGCCATACCCATGCACTCCGAGCAGTTCATCACCGCCAGGTTCGCGGCGGAGCTTGGCATTGCCACGGAAGTGATGAGGGATGAAGTTGGCCGGCTTCACAGGGAAGATATCGCCGAAGCCGTGAAGAAACTCATGACGGAGAAGGCCGGGGAAGAGATGAGAGAGAAAGTGAGGGCGTTGAAAGAGGCGATGACTTCGAAAAGAACACAAGAGATTGATAACGCGGCGGCGTTGCTCTCTCAGCTTTGCTGCACTTTGAACGTTAATTAAAAAAATTGCTCTCTGCACTTTTAGGAAACTCAAATATAATTTGACAAAATTACCCCGACTACTTAAATAAACTTTTCTACGTGATCTCTGTGTCTAGGAAACAAAATTGCGTATTCTGTTGAAAGTCTCCACTTCCCATGAAATTAAACTACCGAACATCTCTAGCCATAACCTTTTCTACGTGATCTCTGCTTTCTCACAATTATCTAGCAATTCGATTTCGCTTTTCTCTTCCGCAATTATCTCTCGCGATGATCTTCTCTACGTAATCTGCACTTTTCTCATGTAAGATTTTTTGCTCTGCTTTTTTCGTGATCATGTTCTCGGGTTTGTCATCTTCTGGATAGATTTTTTGTTTGTATTACTTTTTTGCATTCGAATGTTTGTTGTCACGATCCAAACCGCATCTAAGCGCGTGTACAACCGCCGTATGACCAAGTGACGTCACCCGCAAGTCAACGTGACTTAATCATACAATGCGTCTATGAACATAATTCATTAATACTCAGTAGTAAACATACTCCCTCCGTCCCGGAAAATTAGTCCCACTTTGACTTGGATCGGAGTTTAAGAAAGTGAGAATAAAGTGGAAATGTATGGTTGTGGTTGAGTAAGAAAAAGGTAAATGAATGTTAGCCACACAAAACTTTCCTAAAAGGGAAATGGTAACAATTTTTTGGGACGACCCAAAAAGGAAAATGAGACTTATTTTATGGGACGGAGGGAGTACATAACAACATCACATTCAAACCAATGAATAGCGGAAATATCCAATGATAAATCATGGGCCACAAACGGTCAAGACATGGGCTCACAAGCCCAAAATAGTTTATAGTAAAACAATTATCCATGAGCAAGTGTTTGGTAGTTTGAAAGGAAATAAGGAAGCATGAACCACGTCTTCCTTGATCTGAGTTCACCCGTAAGAAGGTGCAGGTAGCAAGCCGTAGCTTCAACCTGAAAATGGTGAGGCCCACCGAAGGGGTCAGTACAAGTACCTAGCGAGTAGCAAGCTAAATGTAGAGTAACTAATGTTTCAAGTATAAGACCCAAATATAGGGTGATACATACACGTATAGTACTTTCCCCCAAGTTATAAAATACATATCGGTATATATACACACTTAGAAATACCCGACCCATAGGTCATTGTTTATTTGGGAAAAATCATAGTAGTCAATATCCATGACTTAAATCCCAATCCAACCCATATCCCATGAGTGTATAGGACAGCTCCTGGTCCAAATCAATTTATACATACGAGTTTGAGAACAGTACCGTCGTCCTTGGATACTCTACCATTTATACATATGAGTTTTGAGGACAGTACCGTCGTCCCTGGGTCTCCACCATCTATACACCGAGGTTTGAGAACAGTACCGTCGTTCCTGGGTCTCCACCGTTTATACACTTGAGGTTTGAGGATAGTACCGTTGTCCCTGGTCTCCACTGTTTATACATTTGAGGTTTGAGGACAGTACCGTCGTCCCTGGGTCTCCATCGTTTATACATTTGAGGTTTGAGGACAGTATCGTCGTCCCTGGGTCTCCACCGTTCATATACCGAGTTTTGAGGACAATACCGTCGTCCCTAGGTTCTACACCATCTTACTTTCATTTCTGTGACCTACCGCTTATCATGCATAGATAAGGTCTACATCATAATCGTTTATCAAGACTAGACCAAGTCTTAGAGTTTAATCATTAGGTATCAAACCTACCCCTTTAAATATCTCACATTCCATGCAATTCCATGCACAATATAATCCTATAGGATGTCTGGGGTGAATACCCCCCCCTTTGAACCGAGCCCGAACCGTATTTTTGGTGAAATCAGAACCCGTGGCAACAGCTTACCTGGCGCCGGTTATACCCTAACCCGGCGCCGGTTATGTGTCAAATCTCTCAGACCGGCCATGCAGTGGCATAATTGGCGCCAGTTCAGCCCTATAGCCGGCGCCGGTTCACCGTCTGCCCAAAGACGGTGGCCCGTTGACCCCCGTATGATCTCCGATCGGTCCGAAACTTTTATACAACATGTATTGGGTTTCAAATAATCAATATTTACCATTTTGGCCATCCAAAACATCACACATGTTTTTATATCATTTCATATCATTTCTTAGTAATCATCATGGCTAATCACATGTTTAAACATTTTAAACATCATTATGAACACATATAGCTTATTCTTAGGTAATCATATACTTAACCCAAGAGTTACAAGACATTAAACCATCCACTCACCTTGAATGAGCTCTATGAGGTACTACCCTTCCTGGTTGAACTCCGGCGAAGCTCCGGCGAACTTTGACAAACTCCGGCGACAACTCCGGTGACTCTTTCAACTCCGTGAAAGCTCTTGGAACTCCTTAGACAAGTTCCTAACAAGGTTTTATCATCACAAAACCCATATCAACACAAATAACCTCTAAAAGGTTATTTTCAGGCGAACCGGTCGCTTTGGCTTCAAAGTCTATTCTTGGACTTAGAACTACCTTCCAACCCCTCATTCTACACTTCTAAACATGTAAAAAAATCTTAGGGTCTCCTCATATGATGTTTAATCCATATGATAGTCAAAATTGTGGAAGAAAAGATACTAAAGAGTCTCTTACCTTAACACCAAAGGTTATTCTCTTTTTTTCCATATTTTTCTTCCTCCTTGGACCTTCTTCTTGGTTGAGCTTTCTTCTATCAATGGAGGATGATATTTGCAGAGGTTTTTCTCTTTCCTTGAAAAGCTTGGTCGAGAATGAGAGGGATAGGAAAGTAGGAATGGTCTTTTTGTCTCATTGGACAAATGAGCGTGGATGGGAGGTTCACCTCATGTCGTTTAGATGCCTTTCCATTCACCTCAACTTCCCCCATCCTCCTTCTCTCATTTCAGACGCCCAAACCTAGATTCTTGTGACCAAAAATCGTGGTTTGGCCCCCACACTAGGGGCGGGCATAGTCGGTTAACCGGCCAAATTTCGGTTAATCGCGATGTTGGTTAATATATTTGTTAATATCATTATTCGTACCGTAACATCGGTTAACCGAGTATTGGTTAACCAAAATTTTGGTTAACAACTAATCGGTTAACCAAAAACCATGAAATAGAAAAGAATAAATTCATCAAACTATTTCGTACTCCTCACAGATATATAAATTAGAAACTTATATCGGTTAAGAGTGGCGGATCTACCATGTTAGTTTTAGGTGTTCAAATTTATTTTTCAAATTTTAGGTGTTCAAATTTATTTATAAAAAAATCTAGAAAATTTATATATGTAGTTTTATACAAAAAAAGTTCTTTGGGTGTTCACATGAACACTTTTGAACACATATAGGTCCGCCCCTGTCGGTTAACATCTCGAGAAAATTAGCCTCCTGGAGTAATAAAAAAAACTAAAAAAACTGTTTATAAGTATAATACTAAAGAATATATATATACATGTCAGTAGCTTAGCATTAGTCTAGAAGTATATTCTTCCCAGTAAAGAAAGTGTGTATATTCCACTATGTATGGACGTGAATATACATACACAAGAATTTCAAAACTGAGAAGTGTTCGCTTTATCGTTTGCGGCCTACATACCTTCATCGTAATTTATTGTTCATGTGTATGAACTTACAGTTATTGGTTAACCGGTGAAGATAATTTCCAAAACCGTAACCGTACCGCTAACCATTTTCCCCTCCCGGTCGGTTAACCGTACCGTGAGTTTTAAAAATTTCGGCGCAATTAACCGAAAAAGACACCGGTTTTCTGGTTTTTCGGTTCGGTTAATCGGTTACGGTTATTTTTTCCCACCCCTACCCCACACATGTGGGAGGTCATCCCATTATGTCCCGAACTGTACAATCGGCCCCGAAAGTTGTATTTCCCGGACTATTTTAATTATATTTTATTTTATTGGGCCAAATAAAATATACGGAGTATTACACATTCTCAACCCATATGAGATCTTAGAATGAGTATACCTTCCTCAACTCTAATTTGGAAGCCTCCGAAATCCATTTCAGACTGTTATCCGATAAATTACCAATATCGGTAATTGGGCCTTGTTTGACCAACCGGTCAAGCCTATGCCCTCTCCATGGCCCAACTAAAATATCCACCACCATATACACATTATCTAGACCAATATGAATGTAATATGTGGTCTCAAAAATATAGGGTGGTCCCCGCTCCCGATGTGGGCCCCGCGGCGCAAAAAGTAATGACAAAAATTTACAACCTCGTAAATTCATTAACCAGTTCATAAGTTTCAATACATGATTTACATAAAAGTTAGTATAGTTGGGGACGGTGTTACATTTGTTATGTAGCTCATGCGATTTTTCCTATCATTCCAGTGTTCCTTATCTTTTGAATCCATTGGATTTCAATGCTTGTTATCATTCCTACATTTTTATCGTTGGATTTCATTGTAATCATTTTTATGAATTAGTAATTCTCAGTTTCTTATATTGTTTTCAGATATATTAATATGTATGAAGATGTTGTAGTTTGCTTATTCATTGAACAAATCAATATACTTTGTATTTTAGTTTTGCTTTTTTTTTTTGCAATTGATTTCCAAATTTATGGATGTTTTTGCCCATTGCTATTTTCATACACTTTTCAGGATGTTGATTATGCTCAAAGTTGATGGTTGTTGGGATGATTATACAATGCTTTCACTGAATTGGCTTACTCATGCATTGGTGCACTTGCTTCAAAAGAGATGCTTAAGTTTACATATTTGGTTGAGTCATGCCCTCCTCTAATTGTTGTTAATGATGATAATAGTTTGATATTTTACCTTGCTCTTAAAAAATTGCAGCCTGATTATGCGAAGTATCCCTTATGTGTTGAGTTATGCCCTGTTTCCGCTTATAATCAGGCCTACTTCTCTTATATAGCTACTGCAATTGATTTAAATGCTTCTCCACTTGATGAACATGACCAATTACTCTTACACTCAGTTTCTTCTCCTTTGCATGAAGACAATTCTTTTGAGTTCTATGCTACCAATGATGAGATCTCAATGGATTGCGAAGATACAACTCTTTTGCCTACACCTTCATCTTCATCTCCTGTCACTGAAGATGTTGATGTCACTGAAGATGATGATGTTAGCCTAGAGTTTGAATTACATAATGTTTCTGATTTCCAAGATTTTGAAGTACTCTCTCGTTTTAATCCTACACATATAACCATAGACTGTATTTACAAGGACAAAAAGGCATTGGATTTCCATTTGAAAATGTATGCTATTTCAAATCTTTTCCAATATAAGACGAGGACATCAAATAGAAAAGTATTGTATGTTGTTTGCTTGGTTGATCATTGTATCTGGTCTGTGCGTGTAG